AAAGGAGTCTCAAAGCAGCTTACACACTCCTTTCCCTTCCCCTCCCCACAACAGACACCCTGTGAGGTAGGTGAGGCTGAGAGAGTCCCACCCTGCTCAGGGATGGTTCCTTGGTGCAAAAGGAGAGCCGCTCACCAGCTGGGGAAGAGGTCCCTTCTGAGGGCACATTCCCCTTATCCTCAGCATGGTGCCCTGTTTCCCCTAGACCCTCATGCTCCCTGACAGCAGCGGGGCTGCCAGATCCAGAGTGGGACGTAGCTAACAAGTCCCCGAGAGTCTTTTCTGTGTGCCTAGCTGACTGTCTCTGCTTCTCCAGGTCAGCCACCTTGGCCTCAAGGGAGCACACACGTTCCCTGAGAACCAGGAGCTCCTTGCACCGAGGACACACCCAAGACTTCTGCCCAGTGGGCAGATAGTCCACCCCTCAGGGGGTGGTACCGCTCACTTTGGGAACCACGATGTAGACAGTGCATGAAGCACATGGAGATAAGGAATTCTGAAAAGGTTGTCTACATTGCATCACTTTAGACTGCAAGTCAAGGATGTCTGTTCTAATGCACTCTTGTGTAACAAGAGAGCCCCCATGTACTTAAAGGAAAAAGATCTAGCTCGTCAAGGAGAAAGGCTCTAACCAATTCTGTTCTTTGCAGAGCTAGTTTTCTGCTTACACAAGGGAACATTCAAAAATGCAATCTTCCACCTCCAACCAATTCTACCACCTCCTGCTGCATGTTTAGACTAAGCCCAATTCCCTGCCCCCCAACCAACCCAGTCATAACGACTCCAACTGTACCTGGGGCTACTTTTAAGCAGGCATCCCATGGAGGGAAAAGGCCTCATATTTGACTATCCACACCCAGCGTCAGCAATCAAACTGTCATGTAGGGTTGAAGATCCAGGAAGAGCACAACAGGGCAGCCAGTCCTGTCCAAAACAGCCTCCATCCCCATTGATTTGCCTCCAGTTCTTACGTGCCCAAACACAGAGCAGTAAAGGCACGCCTTTGTAGGAGGCTTCAGCTGCAATGCTTCTCAATTATCAGCCAAAAAGCACACTTTCTGCTTTTATTTAAAATATTTATGCCCCAAATTCATAACCAAAATGAGCGGCACTGTAATTTTATAAAAAGAGAACAACAAATAAAATCCCACTGGTAGGAAGACCCACAAAACAATAAAAAGCCACAGAAGGACTAAAAGCAGACAGCCACAGTAGCAAGAGTCAAGGAGCAACAGCAAAGCATCCAAATCAAATATTCCCACCTGTCTGAAGATAGGTGCCTGTCCCCGCACCAGGATAGGATGAACTGCTGTGATGTCATAGAATGTTCATCCACATTCTGACTACCAATGGCAATTCATAAGATTGTGAACATTTGGAGCAGCTAGTGAGAGGGTCGTCTTGCCACAGGGAAAAAAAACCCTTCACACATGACTAGGACAACATCACATAACGTTTTATCCAGCAACTGCATCTGATCTCAAGCAACCGGTACCCCCTCACCTCTCTCAGATGAGCCAACCCGAACCAGAGACTTTTCATCTCCTGTCGGCTTTCCCCCAATATTCAGTTTAAAAGCTGCTCTGCCACCTTTTTGATTTTAAGTGCCAGCAGCCTGGTTCCTTCTCGGGACAAGTGGAGACCGTCTCGCCTGTACAGCTCCCTCTTGTTCCAAAAAGTATCCCAGTGCCTAACAAACCTGAACCCTTCCCCCCTACACCATCGTCTCATCCACGCATTGAGACTCCTGATCTCTGCCTGTCTCTCCGGCCCTGCGCGTGGAACAGGTAACACTTCTGAGAAGGCTACCTTGGAGGTCCTGGACCTAAGTTTCCTGCCCAGCAGCCTAAATTTCTCCTCCAGGACCTCACGACTGCATTTCCCCACATCGTTGGTGCCGACATGCACCACGACCACTGGCTCCTCCCCAGCACTATCTACCAGCCTATCTAAAACACGCGTAATGTCCGCTACCTTCGCACCAGGCAGGCAAGTCACCATACGGTCAGTACGCGGGTTCGCCACCCAGCTGTCTACCTGCCTAAGGATCGAATCACCCACTACCAAGAGCCCCCCTCCCACCCTGCTCAGGGATGGTTCCTTGGTGCAAAAGGAGAGCCGCTCACCAGCTGGGGAAGAGGTCCCTTCTGAGGGCACATTCCCCTTATCCTCAGCATGGTGCCCTGTTTCCCCTAGACCCTCATGCTCCCTGACAGCAGCGGGGCTGCCAGATCCAGAGTGGGACGTAGCTAACAAGTCCCCGAGAGTCTTTTCTGTGTGCCTAGCTGACTGTCTCTGCTTCTCCAGGTCAGCCACCTTGGCCTCAAGGGAGCACACACGTTCCCTGAGAACCAGGAGCTCCTTGCACCGAGGACACACCCAAGACTTCTGCCCAGTGGGCAGATAGTCATACATGTGACACTCCGTGCAAAACACTGGATAGCCCCCAACCCCCTGCTGGCATTCTGGCTTCATAATTCTTTTAAAATAAATAAATATAATCCCCCTTTTAAACCCTTGGTATTTATATACCCCCCTCAGGGGGTGGTACCGCTCACTTTGGGAACCACGATGTAGACAGTGCATGAAGCACATGGAGATAAGGAATTCTGAAAAGGTTGTCTACATTGCATCACTTTAGACTGCAAGTCAAGGATGTCTGTTCTAATGCACTCTTGTGTAACAAGAGAGCCTCCATGCACTTAAAGGAAAAAGATCTAGCTCATCAAGGAGAAAGGCTCTAACCAATTCTGCTCTTTGCAGAGCTAGTTTTCTGCTTACGCAAGGGAACATTCAAAAATGCAATCTTCCACCTCCAACCAATTCTACCACCTCCTGCTGCATGTTTAGACCTAGCCCAATTCCCTGCCCCCCAACCAACCCAGTCATAACGACTCCAACTGTACCTGGGGCTACTTTTAAGCAGGCATCCCATGGAGGGAAAAGGCCTCATATTTGACTATCCACACCCAGCGTCAGCAATCAAACTGTCATGTAGGGTTGAAGATCCAGGAAGAGCACAACAGGGCAGCCAGTCCTGTCCAAAACAGCCTCCATCCCCATTGATTTGCCTCCAGTTCTTACGTGCCCAAACACAGAGCAGTAAAGGCACGCCTTTGTAGGAGGTTTCAGCTGCAATGCTTCTCAATTATCAGCCAAAAAGCATACTTTCTGCTTTCATTTAAAATATTTATGCCCCAAATTCATAACCAAAATGAGCGGCACTGTAATTTTATAAAAAGAGAACAACAAATAAAATCCCACTGGTAGGAAGACCCACAAAACAATAAAAAGCCACAGAAGGACTAAAAGCAGACAGCCACAGTAGCAAGAGTCAAGGAGCAACAGCAAAGCATCCAAATCAAATATTCCCACCTGTCTGAAGATAGGTGCCTGTCCCCGCACCAGGATAGGATGAACTGCTGTGATGTCATAGAATGTTCATCCACATTCTGACTACCAATGGCAATTCATAAGATTGTGAACATTTGGAGCAGCTAGTGAGAGGGTCGTCTTGCCACAGGGAAAAAAAACCCTTCACACATGACTAGGACAACATCACATAACGTTTTATCCAGCAACTGCATCTGATCTCCCAAACATAATCCGAAGAAGCTCTAAGCCTTCCATACCTAGGGCGCTGTTTGATCCCTCCATGCTGTTTCTTCCTCCGCGTCTGCTGACCGTGCACCATGCTTGCACATTTGGCTCAAGTAAGAATGCTACACAGATGGTACATTTGGATGGCTGTTCTCCGATCCAGAATCCTCTTGAAGTCCAAAATCTCAGCCCCTTTAAGAAGGGAGGTAACGTTTAGAAAGGGGGGGGGGGGAACCAATCAGGCATGCATCTTCTGACAGTGGATTTTTTTTAAAAAAAAATCATTGGTTCGGGTTTAAGTCACTGCATATTAAAAGCTCCAGACGACATACCTATTAATGAATCACTGTAATCTGGGAAAAGGCAGGGCCAGCTGAGGGTATCTTGTCAACCCAACCAAGCTGCGTTTATGGCCTGTGCTCATACGGCCACCTGCTGCATTCAAGCCAGCCCCGCAGCACATGTGGAGGAGGGTGATGCATGCCACCTCCCAAACCGAGCCCAAACCTCGGCTGCTTTAACCCTTTCAGAGCTGCAGGCCCAGGAAAGAAGAGGCTCCTCCTGCCTTCCCCGTCAGAGCAGCAGACCTCTCTAGCCCCCCTCCCCGCTGGGCTGGACTTGGGCCCCGCAGTCCTCAGAGGCGCCCCCCCAGAATGCAGCTCAGTGGGATTCCTCGGGAGTCAGGTCGCACTCCCGGGGAACACCCAGGCTGTTCAGCCCTCCCAGAAGACGGGGGGGGGGGGCAGGATTGGGCAGAAGGGGGGGAAGCGAAGCGAAGGGCGCTCAGGTCTAAGGGAAACTCCCCCCCCTCCCTCCTTGCAGGCCGTTCTCGGCAGGGGCTCCTTCTTTGGTGGGGTGGGACTCCCTGTGATACCAGCACTTTTTTCCGGGGGAGGGGGAGTGTTCTGGGACATCCCAAGGAGGAATTGGGGGGAGAAGGAGGGCAACTTTCTCTATGAGTCCTGCTGTCAGGGTCAACAGCAAGCAGGTCCAAACAGATCCTCCTGCCTGAGAACAATTGAAGCTCCTCTGTGATGTGCCTGCACCCCCCTCATGGTGCCACCCCAGTCACTCGGCTGGCTTGACCCAAAAACCAGCCCTGAGTAAGGATAATGATGGCTTCCTCTCAGGGATTCCCAAGACACGCATGTTCAAAACATCCGTATGTATCCACTCACAGACCGGACCCAACATACTCCAAGGCCCAGTCCACACACAGAGTAGATGAGCTAGTAACAGACTTCAGGGGCTGTAATGGTCAAGGTCAGGAAAAGAATCTGATCCGATCTAAAAGAATCATTGCACACAGAAATCTAGCATCGCAGGGGGAAATTCTGAGCTACTGAGAGCGTACTGCTCGTCCATCTTGGCCAGAATGATAAACTATCTTGCCTTTGCAAAGAAGTGTAGGACTGAAGACCTTGGTACAGCCTCCACGTAGTAGGTGCATTTTCACTGCAGGGTCTCACTCCTTTTGATCTACCTCCAGTTCTTACGTGCCTGTACACGGGGAGTAAAGGCACGCCTTTGTGGGAGGTGTCTGTTCCCAATCCAATTGTATCTGCTCAAAAACCTTCAACTGGTACTACGCCTGTGATGGGAAAAAATGTCAACAAAACCATTTTGGCATGAAACAACTGCTCTTTATAACTGAAAAGCGCTAGGGGAAAGATAGCCAATGAATTCACTGGGGAAAGGCCACCTTTCAAGGACCACACCTTCCAGCATGGAGTGAGCAATGCTTAGAATTAACCACTTAATCTTGTACTTTCGGGGATGAAGATTATAAAGTCAGCCAGTGCATGTGTGCAGGGAATACTATTAGGCTTTTCAGAATTTCATTGTCAACATTAAACTCAATAACCCTTGGTTGCCTTTCCAGTACAGAGGTCTCCCATCAAGTCAAACCAGTCGAGCGGCCCTAACAAATGAGAGCTTACTACTATGTAAATCAGGGGTGTCAAGCATGCAGCCTGGGGGCCAGATCAAGCCCCCGGAGGGCTTCCATGAGGCCCGCAGTGGAACTGGCTGTCTTCTGCTTCTTCCAGTTTTGCTGCTGCTGCATCATCGTACATTTGGAGCTTACAGATACACACCTGAACAGCATACTCAAGATTGCAACAGCACAGACAATTTGAGGCAATAATTCAGAGCAAGAGGTTTCAGTTAACAGACACTGTTAAATAAATAAAATATCGCAAGACTGCTAATGTTTTTAAGCATGATTTTATTTTAAGTAAAAAAAACACACCCTTTGTGTTTGTGTCCTTTATAAAGATTATATTTCTACTACCTGGCATTACATTTTATGACACAGGTGGCCCGGCCCAACAAGGTCTCATTTATGTCAGATCAGGCCCTCATAACAAATGAGTTCGACACCCCTGATGTAAGTATTTCTTACACTGTGCCTGCTCTGTGCTCATAGCCTTGGTCAATTAAGGTGGGTGTACGGATGGCCTAGCAATCCCTGACTTTGGGAAGGGGTTGACCTAGATGGCCTTTGTTCCTCCGTAATTCCAGTTGCCCTCTGTAAACCCTTGATCTCCTCAAACCAGTGTGGACCACGCAGACCCCTCCTTCAAATACTACAACGCACTGGACCTCACATCACCACCTCAGGAAAATAAAAATATTACCTTTATAGAACACACCACTTCTTAGGATGAAGCAATTCAGGTATTTTTGGATCCAATACTGGAGGCCACATCTCAAAGGAACAACGATGGTGTCTCGAGGAACTTCAACAGGGAAAGTCGGAATGTAAATGGATGTAACCTTGACAAGGTAGGTGTCCCACCTGAACAGAGCAGAGAAAAAAATTGAGAACAAGGGATTCTATGATGTTTTCAAAGTTAGATTTGCAGTCTTAGGGTACTCATTAAATTCTTCGCTCCTCAGAGCAGGAACCTGAGCTATATAACTCCGTCACATGCTGCATGGAATGAATGTCGAATCATAGAATCATAGAGTTGGAAGGGACCTCCAAGGATATCTAGTTCAAACCACTGCAGAATGCAGGAAATTCACAAATACCTCCCCCTACACACCCCCAGTGGCCGCTGTTCCATGCCCAGAAGATGACAAAAAACCCTCCAGGATCTCCAGCCAAACTGGCCCGGAGAAAATGGCTTCCTGACCCCAAAGTGGCGATCAGCATTTCCCTGGTCGTGTAAGAAAGGGCCATGAGAACTAAGCACTGTACATATGAAACAATTCACAATCAAGACCTGAAACATCACCACCTTTCCAAATTCTGTACCCAGGGACCCCCAGATTCTACACACACACAAATTACATGCAAAAGATACAAATTAGCTTATTTTTGTGGACACATGTATGCTTTATTCAGAATCTTTACCAAGCTTTTGCAAGAGAAGGTTTTTCTCCTGGGGATGCTACCGTAGAAGCAGCTCTTGATTTAGGTCAGTAGCACACATGATGTGGAAAACATGAATGCAAGCCACACCCCGGAAGGCACAGACATTCCGTCACACAAAACAAAGGTCCCGTGGAGATGTTTTGAAACATAAAACTACAAACACCAGAACAAAGTGCTTGGTTTCTAAAATATTAAAGAAGAAGAAGAAGAAGAGAAGAGATTGGATTTATACCCCGCCCTTCACTTGGGAGTCTCAGAGCGGCTTACAAACTCCTTTCCCTTCCCCTCCCCACAACAGACACCCTGTGAGGTGGGTGGGGCTGAGAGAACTCTGACACAAACTGCTTTTTTTCAAGGACAGCTGTGCCAGAGCTTGTGACTGACCCAAGGTCACATCAGCAGGTGCAAGTGAAGGAGTGGGGAATCAAACCCGGTTCTCCCAGATTAGAGTCCGCGCACTTAACCACTACACCAAACTGGCTCTCAAACTGGAGTGATGGAAGCCGAAGCAGAACGTGGAAAGAGGTTATGTGTTAGGACGAAGGAGATGCAAGGAGCTGGGTGTCTACCAGAGAATGAGAGAGGAGGTGAGGAGTATTATGGTCAGGGAGTGGGTGAATGCCAGCTCATACACTGCAGCAGCGGCTGTGTTGGGGTTAGTATATACCGAGGTCACTATCATAGAAGTAACCCCAGCCGTAGGTTTCCCCATCTCTCTGACCCACCAACCCTTGGCCAGCTCATGGGAAGCACAGATCAGTATGGGTTAAGAGGGATTTAAGCCAGACACTCCCATCCTACTAAAACTGGTGACTGGTACAGCCAATATCCTGTCGGCACAAGGCCATGGATATGATAATGTAACCCCAAAGCATTGATGGGGGGGGGGGGGGAGATGCAAACATAATTCAACGAGGAATGCTGTTCACCCATGTCGGTCACATGCCCAAACCCATACGGGCAGGTATTTGAGATGCAAATGGGTTGCAGGAAGGCCTGAAATACATCTAGGCTGTTGAGCATGGAAACACCAATGTGTTTTAAATAAACAAAGAAACAGTAAAAGGTCTGGATCTCTTATCTGAATTCCAGAGTGCACAGTTTTCCTTTAAGGGTTTAAGACATGGCTTGTTGGACAAGTCCAAGGTCTACAAGCAGCAGGAGGTATTCAGCGACCCACCAGAAACTGGCCAATGGTCTACTTCAAGATCACCGTCTGCTTTCAGCCCTCCCTGTTTTAGGCCACAAATGGTTGGTTTAAGTGTTGGGTGCTGCAGGTGTGGGCCACGAAACATTTTTTAACGGGCTGTTAACTTTTGGAAACTCATCTGCAAACCTGACTGGAGCACCAAACCATCCCTTCAACAGATGCCCAAGACCATCTTCCCCTCTTCCACCTACATACAAGTGGTTTTGATAGGGCAAGTGATAAATTCAGGGTGTCTCTGTCCTGCCAAGTTATCTTGGGGCCCTTTTTACTTTTGTTAAAACTCTTAGTCTTCTGACATTTTAAAACAGAAAACAAAATTAAATTTCAGCAGGGCAATCTTCGTTGTTTTCTTCTTTTATGCTTGTGGCAGATAGTACTAGTCTGGATTACGGAAGGCTGGTAATGGAAGCCTCGGTCATATCTGAAGGGGGAGGCACCTTCTTGGGTTAGAAGTCCACTCCTGGACTTGGAGGAAAAGGATGAGAGCTGTAGGGTCTTGCCACTCCACCCCAATGAACAATGGTTGCTCACTACTATCTCCCCATATCAGTACCACTGTGCCCCCCCCCACTCATTAGCGCCCTTCATCACCACCTGGGCCAACACAAGCCTTACAGCTTCCTAGCTCTATAAACACTATAGCACATCCCAGTCTCCCCAAACACTTCTTCACCATAGCATATGAAGCAGCCTTGTACCCGGATCAGACCACCGGTCCATATACTAAATCACTGGCACAACTGTCCAATGTCTCAGGGCAGAGGACTTTTCTAGCCCTGCTTCCAGAGCTATTTGAACTGAGGACACGCGTTCAACTGGAGACAGAACCTGGGACATTATACATAGGGCAGTATATTTCATTTTAGAAAATGTATACCCTGCTTTTCCGCTCAGATGAATTACCAAAGCAGCTTATAAGTAGAAACAGGCCCGTAGTTAACCAGGGGCCCCTGGGGCCCGGCCTCCCCGTGATTTTAAAGGGCCCCCTTCCCAATTCTCGGCTCCCCCTCCCTCCCCCGGCCCCCTCCCCATCAGGGAGGGGGGAAGGAGTCCGGCCCCGTGCGGAGAGCCCCCATGCGACCGTCTCTCTCCCCCCCCGCTCGCAGGCCGGCGTTTCTGCTGCAGAGGGAAGCAGAAGCCAAGGTGGGTGTCGCCGGGGGAGGGGGCGGGCGACCACCAGGCCGAGCCGCCCCCCCCCAGGGAAAGGGACTGAGCAGGGCCACTGCCCCCTATAGATGGAAGGCCTGAACACCAGGCTCTGACGTCACCGCATGTAGTCATAACATTCCCTGAACTCTGCAGTTGCCAGCTCGCCCCAGGGAGAGCCTCCACCCACTGGCTGACCGCCCTGAGCAACAGCGGAGCCTTTGAGCCGACCTCTCGCAGCCCTGCCCACCTTTCCCGGAGCTGCGGCCGAGCCGCCCCGTCGGCTGTTCTGTGCTGAATAAAGAGTCCAGCCAGGCCCGTGGGCGGTGGTCACCGTCGCTGCAGCGCGTCCCTCCTTCTGTCCGTCCTCCTTCTCTCCTCTCCCACCGCCCCCCACAGAGGTTGGGCCCCGCTTTGACTGGGGCGGCAGCAGCATCCCTGTGTTTCCCTTCACAGCATTGTTTGGACAACATGGCGTTATCTGTCCAATTGGCGTTGGGCAAAATTCTGGGCGCACCTCTCCAGCCGAGCCCCAAAGCGCTGCGCTCGGCTTTGCTCCCCACCGCCAATGGCTCCTCATTGGCTCTGGCGCGGGTGTAAACAGTCCGCGTTCCCAAATCAGGATTCCCGTCAACAACCTGGCCATGGCGTTTTGCACCAGCTGCAGCTTCCGGAATACCCAAAACCCACAGAAATATGGGGACTGCAAGGAGCAAGTCCTCTTGAGGAACTTGAAGAGTAATTTCTTCCAAAAGACTTTTGAAAATGTTTAATAGTTTTGTTATCGTTGTTCTAAATTGGGACTTTCTATTGCTTGATTTTGATGTTTCAATTCTGATTGGCTTGAAAAGGCTGCTGCATTGGCATTTTCTACTTGTGACCACTTTTGGACCTGGATAGCCCAGGCTAGCCAGATCTTGGAAGCTAAGCAGGTCCGGCCCTGGTCAATATTTGCATGGGAGATGACCAAGGAATACCAGGATCTCTACACAGAGGTAGAAAATGGCAAACCACCTCTGAGCATCTCTTGCCTTGAAAACCCTATGGGGTCACCATAGGTCGGCTGTGACTTGATGCCACCCCCCTCAAGCCACTCTGTGCATTCATCTGAGTGGGAAAGTGGGGTATAAATGTTCTAAAATGGATTTTTTTAAAAAAATCACTCACAAGGACATAGCAAGCATCCAGTACTTGAAAGACTGCTAGGCTGCACCTTAAAGAGTTTGTACTGAAGCAGGAGATGAAACAGGTATACTTCGTCTGTCTCATATATTCCTGGTACTTTCATTCCACCTGCCTCCCGCTTCAAAGCAGCATATCCACAGCCTTGCTCAGGAAAGCAGAGGCAGAGGATACAGGCAGAAGAGCCAAGGAAAGAAAGGAGGAAGGAGGAGGAGGAGATTGGATTTATACCCCACCCTTCACTACCCAAAGGAGCCTCAGAGCGGCTTACAAACTCCTTTCCCTTCCCCTCCCCACAACAGACACCCTGTGAGGTAAGTGGGGCTGAGAGAGCTCTGACAGAAACGGCTGTTTTTCAAGAACAGCTGTGCCAGAACTATGGCTTGCCCAAGGTCATCCAGCAGGTGCAAGTGGAGGAGTGGGGAATCAAACCGGGTTCTCCCAGATTAGAGTCTGCGCTCCTAACTACTACACCAAACTGACTCTCAATAGCTGCAATAGCATCATCTCCTACTTCACAGATAAAGGTATAGTGCAACCGGATAACCCTAGATGGGCACACTGTCAACAAGACTGTCAACAAGCCTATGCACCATGTATCATATGTGGTGGACATGTGATAAAGCTAAAATGTTTTGGACTGAGATACATGCAGAAATGGAAAAAATTGTAAAATATAAGTTTAAGAAAGAACCGGAAATATTACTTTTGGGACTAGATGGAAGAAGTCAATATGGCAAAAAGGACATTGATGGTATATTATCACTACGGCCAAACTGACGTATGCACAATGTTGGAAACAAGATAAGATCCCTGATATTGAGGAATGGATAAAGAAATTACTTTTTATGGCCGAAATGGACAAAATGACATGGAAACT